TGGAGAAAGGGGTTCCAGTAGACAAAAGGATAAAAATTTTGGACTTCATTTTGTTCCAAATGCATATTTGGTTTTAGCTTCCCAGGTGTCCTGCTTTCCTTTCTATTCTTCACTGATAAATAGTTATCTTATGGCAGGCTACCTTCTACTGATGATAACTAAGTGCTCTTTATTCTATTGTATTGTAAGTACGTAAGTATTGTATCAAAGCATGGAAGTACTCTTGACTAAGAATTAGAAGGGATCTTAGAAGTCACCAGCTAGTCAAACCCTCTCATTTTACAGATTAAGAAATGAGGCATAGAGAGATTAAGTGACATGGTCATCACACACCTTAGTAAATAGCAAAGTTGTATTCAAACTCCAATGACCGTGCTTTTTTTAACTCATCATGCTTAAATTCTTGAAATATTTTATTGATTTTATTTGCACATTACCTTCATTTATGAACATATCCCTCTACTCTCTCCTACCCAGTGAGTCATCCTTTATGCCAAAGAAAAACAGCAGTTCAGCAAAACCAACAGGCAGATAGGTCACTCAGGTCTGATAGTATATTTTAAACAGTATTTTGGATGTATAACCTGAACCTAGCAAGAACCCAAGTTGGTGCCCTGAATGTACACTGGTCAAGTTATAAATATGAAAGCAAATACATGTCCAGACCAGGACTGAGAAAGATGTTAACTCCACTCTAGCTTCCTACTCCTCCTTATCTCCCAGTTATGGTGAATTCCTTAACCATGCAAAACAATGACCAAATTTAAGGATAATTGATAAAGTACTTGCCATAACTTACCATAAAGAATAAAAATTAAACAACTAGGATAATACAGTACATACACATTATCACCTCAACAGAGAAATGAAATTAGGATCAAGACAGACTGTAATAGATAACACTGACAGATCAGTTAAGGGGGAGGGGTGCCTGAGGGACCAGGCAGTCTATAGGTTTTAAAAATCCTAACACAGATTACCTGCTTCCAATAACCTCTGGTTTTCTTTCAGTGGCAGTGGGGTATGCTGACTTTGTATAGGAAAAATACAAAAACAAAAAACTCCAAAGACCCATAATCACACGCACACAATATTCTATCAAAACTATACATTTTTTATTTGAAATTCTTACACAACAGCCATTTAAAACACAATGATGGCTGTTACTAGTGCTTTGCTTCACTTCAGGCTGGGAAGTAGCTTTGTCCTCCCTTACTTTGGGCTTATCTGTTTTCACTAATAGGAAATTGGGCTCAGGTCACCTGTTCCTTTATTTATTTTATGGGGATAGTTGGAAGGTACCAGGATTAGTAATTTTCTCATTTTACTGTGAGAAATTAATCCCATTTAAAAAAAAATCCTATAATTACATACTCCTTTGTTGTCTTGGACCCAGAATTGCATATGGGTTTACTTAGCTAATGCAATATTATTTCATGTTAAGAAATTAGGTCATACGAGGTATACTGCATTTATGCATGCATTTAGGGGCTTCCCACCCTCCCATTCCCATGGTTATACCTGAGATGAAAAATGCAGAAAGTTTCACTATATAGTCTCTATTTTTCTGCTGTCAACAATTCACACTGAACAGCAGGATATATGAAAAGAATACTGACTGACAGTTAAGAGATGTGGTTCTATTTTACTATTTCACTGGCCTGCTGCAAGACCTTCCCTTGGCAAGTTGTCTGATAAATCAATACCCATTATCTTTGAAACTGGTATATCTGTCCAACAGGTTTTGTTGTGAGCCTCAAATTATGTAATGTTATAAATCTTGTCTGAAAAATATAAGTTGTTATAAAAACACAAGGTCAGAGGAGTATTCATTTGCTTGTCATAGGCTGTGGAGACAGAACATAGAAACAACCATAATCATTCCTGTTTCTCATGTTTCCTTCCTATCTTTCTGTGGCTGAGGATGTATGAGTTGTTAGATTCCCCAAATCCTTTTCCAGTCCTATGAAGATCCAGGCAGTGAGTTTGGTTATAATACCTGCCTGGTGTTTTCCCTCTTAGAACTAGGGTAATTAAACCCTAAACCTGAAACTCAAAAGTAAAGCAAATCCTAAACATATACATCGAATTACAAGCATCTGTAAATCATCTCCTCCCTATACTTTCTCAGTAACACATGTAGCCAGCAAATATCAAAGCATACTTGAAGTATTTTGCCCTTTGTAGGACCTTCAGGAATGCAAAGAATGAGTTGAGGAGAAAAATTTTAGGAAATTCCACTTAGGCCTGTCACTGTTCTTTAATAAGAAGGGAGTGAAGCCCTTAAAGCATAATGAAGTCTGTCAAGGGTGGAACTGGACATGGATATGGATGTTTACTTAATCTCTATCTATGCCTCCCTCCTCCTCTCTTTATCCCCCCCCTTCTTTTTTTAAACAGTGAAAGCATCAGTAAAAATATGCTATATTCAAATGCATTCAGATCTAATCATTATAAAGTATGAAGAAATTTATACCATCTTTTGTAGTTTCCATACCCACCTTTCAATTATCTGAGGATTTAGGGGTGGGGTAGAAGTACAATCCACTGAAAACAAAAATCTATATAGAATTTTAATATTTCATTACCTCCACATTTTCTTCTCGCTAAAAAGTTTTACAAGTATTTTTTATAGTAAATTCTACAGTACCTACATATTTAAAAATCCTGTCATTCTGAATCCCTCTTTCTCCTGTTTTCTTGGTGGTGGTAATTCAAGTTGATAAAGGGATTACTTAATTCAGAAATTTCTTAGGGTTTTAGCCTAGTAAGACATTAGTAAATAAACATATAAATGTCTTCCCTGACAGAGAGAAGGAACAATACTTAAAGCAAGTACACAAGTGAGGTAAAACATGCAATCTAGAGAAACTGCAATCTTTTAGTTTTTCCTTTTTAAAGATCCTTTTCTATTTTATAATTATTTATAAATGTTAAAATGCATTCATAATAATTAAATTAAACTCTTTGCTGAGGTGATTTTTAAAAGGAAAAAATTGAAAGGCTTAGGCTACAATGTAAGAGTTGGTAAAAAACCAACATAACTCAAAGACATAATTCAAATCCTAGGAAACTATAAAGAATTGACCTGACAACTAGTGATATAATTTGCAAGTGCTTTTCTCTAATAGATTTGATTAATAATTCAATGTGGCACTGACAGTTAAATAAGAACAACCTGCTTAGAAAAGTTTGACAATATTCCATGCAAAAATTAGCTCACTGGTCACATTTCACTTTTCTCAACTAAATTCCTTCCTTTTTGTATAAAAGCAGTGCTTATTTTAAAAGTTGGCCATAAACTGGCAAATACCTTTGCAAGCAGGGTATAACTGAAATCAGCTGCTATTTCCCAGATGAGACTGAGTACCCTATTCCTCTAATAAAAATATAGGATAATCCAAGTCTTGTTTATTCCAAGTCTATTTTATTCTGTCCCTTGTATTCAAAATAACAAGGTGTAATGCTATGAAAATATTGCTTAAAATTACCAAAACTTATGATAATGCATACTGGTGATGAATGACATGATTTCCCATTTATAAATTTCCAAGATCATTACATTTGGAAAAATTAGGATGTAGTAAAATAACATTTTGATTATGCATGATAAAAACATCTCTGTTACTAAGAAACAGACTTTAATTCCCTAACTAAATTTTAGAACATTGCCTCATTCTATTACATTTAGTGACTGGCATTAAACTCTTTTAAGTGATATGTAGCGTAATAGTTAATAGCAATTTGTCAATTTTCCTAATCTAATTTTTTTGGGGGAAGAGAGGAACCCAGGTACTCTAACTCTATAACTTAAGGGCCATCACCATGGTATATTTATAAAAAATAATTTATTAAGCACTTACTTGCACATGATGCTGTGCTAGGCACTATACAGAGCCACTTAGACAGAATTTCCTGTTGTCAAAGACTTGGCAAACTTCTAAGAAAACTGTATGAAAAAATCCAGTTAACAAAATTTTAATATTAAAATTATTCAAAGCTACCTAAGCTTTTGCTAATCTAAAACACACCATGTTTTAATCATCCATAAAAGAAAAATTATGATTTAATAAATAACAGTGACTTTACAAAGTATAAGAATTTTAATTTGTGTCACATTTTATGCATTCTGGAAACGAATTTTCAGGAGACAAATGAATTGTTCATTATGTCCCACAGCTTCATAAAAATAAAACTACAGTACTTTAAAGATAAAATGTCCTTTTAAAGTTTTAAAAAGAAAACTATTCACTGGTTGATCATGACTGCTCAGAATACTATCTAGTTGACGCTTAATGTGCTTTTTGTTTATGAACGTTATAATACAAAGCGGATGATACCTTCATATCATCAAAGTATCCTAGCTAGTGATATCACTATTCAGTTAATCTGTCATAAGACAGTTGAAGAATAGAAATCAATCTTATTATTTATGACAAAGACAAGTACAATTTTAAATGAGGAAATTAGCTTTATGAGAAAGTCAAAAGGTTTTTAAAAAAAAATTACAGTTGACTTTTGAGTAAAAGTGAAATCAATATTTTAAAACCACTTTTACCTAGTACCTGTAAGGTACAAATTACTTTAAAACAATACCAGTGAATGTAATATAAAGTTAAGTTAAATGATAAATGAATACTGTATTCATTGAAACCAAAAATTATTGTTAATACTGCTTCTGAGATCCACTCTAGAAAGGAAAAAAAACCCAACTCTGTGAATATGGTAGAAAAATAGACAGAATATAGAATGTAAGAATTTAAACTGTAAAATCACAGCATTCTATTTCCTTTATAGGAAATGGTTTTTTTTTAATATTTTAAATGTTAGGACTCTTACATTTTATAGATTCAAGATGGATTTATTTTTATTTTACCTATTTTAAGGTCTATAAAAATGTCTGAAAAATATTTTCCCATAGGAGTTTATAAATTTTAAAGCTATACACCAATCTGTAAATTCAGAAAATTAAAAAAAAAACCTTTATAAGATAACATGTATAAAACAAGAAATGAAATGTGATTTTATTTAAGGCAATACTGGGCTACTTCACAATTTACCACCTCAAATATATATACACTGCTCCACACTACTAAATTTTCTATCACATTCACAATGGATTCTTTAATACCAATTGTTTAAAAATCTCTGATGTAAATTCTTTATTCACATTTCAATTGTATTTATTTAATTCTATGTCCAGGTAGAAGCATGAGGGGAAAAAAAAAGTATAGCTTTAGGAAACTGTTAAAAGAATGAGCTCACTATACATGAATGCCATCCATCCAAAGATATTGGATGGTAAACTTAGAAATATGAGCATGTTGTCAGTATAATATGTTTACCCTATGAAATGTGATTTCATCAAATTCCTCTGGTAAATAAATGCTATATGCAAAATAAACTGGATATGGCAGATTTTCTAGCTTTAGTTCAAAAAGTTCTTAATTTAAAACAAAGACAATTTTAAAAACTTGATCACTTAATTACAAATTAAAATTCCGAATATAAATGTGTCATTTAATAGTTTAGACTTACAGACTGCTGGTGGCAGCAAATGATTTACAATAATAAATATATACAAAAAAGGTATCTACAAATAAAGAGTACTGTTATACATGAGCAGTGACCTGGTGAAAGATACCAATCACAGACAATTCACAAAGATTTAATTCACGGAAAGGACAGTTTTGTTGTTTTGTTTTTATAGAAATTTGAGGTTTAGCTCAACTATTTACAAAAACTGAAGCAATGATTATGTTCCTCAAGTCCCATAGGGATAAAACCAAAAAATTTTACATGACTAATGTCATGATTTTTTTTCCAGGTTAATTCACATCAACAACAACAACAACAACACCAACAAAAAACAATTAAAAAAGTCTTCACAATTACTAGCATGCTTGATGGCTTCCTATTCAAAATAAAAATGTATAGGTTATATTCAGAGTATAGTAGTTATCAGTTCTGCAATTCTCCATTGTCATTACCCCTACTTATTTCTTTTGTGACTGAAAGATCTGTATCATTTGAATGTACTTCAAGTTTTTTCAAACTGACGGTAGGTTTCATTTCCTGAAGCTGCTTTAACACAAGCTCAGTGCAATCTTTAAGAGTCTTGTCTAAAACAATTTTTACATTTTCACTGCACTGAAGCTGTGATGGATTGGCAAACTGGACAAAAGTCTCACTTTCAGAACATGTCCATATGTGATCACCACTTGCCAAAGATGTCTTGTCAGTGGATTTTTTTGAGTTTGAGTGAGAGCCTTTTTTAGTTCCATTGTTTTGATGGTCCTTGTCAGCATTTTTCTTTTGCTTCACTGCAGACTCCTCAAGAAACTTGAGAAACGATACTTCAAATCCCATTGGTTTAAATGAACTCCAGTCAAAAGTTGTAGGTTGCTCCTCTGTAGTTTGAATTGCAACTGCTGTTTCTTCTTCTTTATGCATGCTACTTACTTCAACTGCCAAAATTTCTTCAGGTTTTTCAACTTTCTTCTTTTTGTTTTGTGAGACAGTTTTTTCTTTATTTGCTCTCTTTAAGTTATTTGACTGTTGTTTTTCAGACTGGCAGGTGGTATTTTCCTGAAGATCATTACTTACACATGAAGTTGAATTATCTTCTTGGTTCTCCACAGTTGCGCTGTCTTCATTAATCAGTTTTGTAATAAACAATTCTGTTAGTTCATCCATTTCATCTTTTTCAGTCTCACTCTGTGGAACTGTTGTTGTACTTGAGTCATTACTGCTCTCTGATATACATGTATCAGATTCTTTCACATCGCTTTTTTTATCAACTTCTTGTTCAGAAGTATCTTTCACTTGTGAGGGACAACACTGTTTGAAGACAATGAGAAGATCACGGTGTTGAGAAGTAAATGATTTTGATAACTTGTGGCATTTATAATGTCTAATTATATTGTTCTCACTTGTAACAACTGATGTACATCCTTTTATCATACATGGGTATTGTGTTACAAATCTGCTCGTACACTCTGATAAAGCATCGTTCCTAGCTTTTATGGAATATACATGCTTTCCACGTTTCAAAGAATAAGGTTTATTTTCTTCAATCTGCTCAGCTTTTGAATTTTTATTTTCTGAAATAACATTTTTCTTTCGTTTGTTTTTAGCTTTGCTTCCCTCTTTTCCAGACCTGTTGTGTTTTGCCCCTCGATGTTTAGATCTTGATTTCTCTTGGTTTGCTTTACTTGACATGTTTTCCTGACCAGGTGTCAATCTTCTTGGCCTAATTAAGTGAGCTTTATGTTTGTCATTATGTTTATTAAAGATATGTCTTAGTAGATTAGATCTAGTTGCATAAATTCGATCACAGCCTTCACAATCACATTTGTATATACCATCATCCTCCATTTTTTTGGGCCTGAACTTGATTCCATGGTCCATCTCAAGATGAAGAATATAGTTCAAACATGTAGTAAATGAAGATTTGCAATGGGACTGATCACATGGAAATCTTCCACAATCTAAGGAGGAAGGCATACTTCCAATTTCTTCAGCAGTCATCTCATGAAGTTTCATGTAGTGCTGTATCAAACTAGTGATCTCTTGAAAAATTCGAGAGCAGTCACTCACTTGACATCGGAATTCTTTCACAGTTTGCTTAGTTTCAGTTTCTTCACTTTCTTTACAAGCCTCACTTTCTTCTTCAATCTCCACAGGGAATACAGGTAGATCTGATTTATGCACAGCCTGGTAATGAAGAATCAAGTTTTGCTGTATTGTAAAAGCTGCAAAACAACCCTGATGGACACACCTATATGGTCTATAGGGACTATATCTTGTTGGCACCTCAGGAGACTGAGTTTCTGGTTTCTTGCGCTTTATCTCCTCCTTTTCTTTTTTATGCCTCCTATTTTTTCGTCCTTTTGTCTGTATATTATTGCAAGAAGGTGTGTCACATTGCTCTGGAGTGGCTGTACTCATTGGTGGAGAACTTCCTGTTTTTTCAGGATTTTTTTTTTCTATAAGGTGTGTTTCCGCAGTCATTGCCACATTATTTATGGCAATTTCCTTTTGTGCCTCAACTTCTATTGGAGCCTGTACTTCACTTTTATTTTCCACTGTCGAAGTGGTCTGTTTTTTTATTTCCACAACTTGTGGGGCTGCTGTTACATTTTCATTCTGAGATTTTTTTCCATAAGGCCTTTTAATTTTCAATTTGACCATTTCTTCTGTTGTGAAGTGATGTACCAATTGACAGTGTGCCCGGAGATTAGAATTTCTTGTAAATGTTTTTGGACAGGTAGTTACTACACATTTGAATGGAGCGTACTTCAGTTGGTGTTTCTTTATTTCCATAATCATCTCTGCAGTATAGTGATGAATTTTACCATAGTGTTTAAATAAGGCATCCTTTGTCATGGCACTGTAGCTACAGCCTGGGTCTTGGCATACAAAAGGTTTATTAACTTTATCATTAAACTGAATGTTGTTTCCCATTTCAGAAGTTTGTTGAATGACTACAGTATTTGAGGTTGCTTTAACTGGTATGGAAGCCAAAGCAGCAGATGCATTCACTGGTAGACATGAGGGAACCTTATCAGAAAGAGGAACAGACTCATCATTTTCTAACTTTAATTTCTGTAAGCCTTCCAAAATTTCTAATACTTGAAAATCATCCTTAGGTGGCATTTCAGGCTTAGGAGAGTTGTCACTTGCAGTGGTGATATCTCTGTGCAATGAAAACTGAGACACATCAGACATTTTAGAATTTTGCATTACATTTACTGAAGGAGGGGTCTGGGTGTTATAACTGATCTGTGAATTTTGTGATGCTCCAATAACATCTTGTATTTCACTTTTAACTTCGAGTATTTGAGAACTCATAGCAGTTTTAATAATTTCAAGAGTCTTTTCAAAGTTTTGTATAACACTGTCTTCAGAAATCTGCAAGTCAGAGTTTACTGAGGCAGTGCATGAATTCATAGCCATCATTTGGGAATCTCCATTTTCAGTTTTTATTGTTAAAGGAGTTAATGCAGCATGGGACTCAAGATTTGCTTTGAAGTTTTCTTTGATACTGGCCATAAACAATTGATTGTCAACATTATTTAACTTCTGTGTGAGATTTTCCACTAATGCCTGAGGCTGAAGATTATCAGTTGGTATCTGTGCATTTCCTTCAATACTCTTTGCTAATAATCCCATTGCTGTTAAATCATTTGTTACTAAGTTTTGAGGACTATTCTCAAGTAATGGTGGAGCAGCTTTTCTTTTTCTCTTAGAAGCACAGTTCCCCTTTTTATTTAAATGACTAGCTCTTGCATTCTGGGGACTATTTATCACTGAAGCACGTGAATTATTAGTGGCAAAATTTTGTGAAGATCCAACAGAACTGGGAAATGAACCAGAGCACAAACCATTTTCAACAGTCTTCAGTAGTAATTCATCTGGTGGAAACACTGGTAAGTTGCTGCAGTCATCTACGGAAGGAGCTTTGGTGCTCAGTGTCCTGTTTTGGTCTGTTAGCAGAGTATTTGGGTGACAGACAGTCTGCAATAAAGGAGAAACATCTGGATTGGGTAGAACTGCTGCATTTACTTGAGTTGAATCAGTGACACAAGTTGCTGGAACCATATGTGAAAGAATATCTGTATTCTCAAATGTACTGGTAATGCCAGCAGTCTCCAAGGCTTGTTTAATAATTTCACTTCCTTCCTCATTCACAGTGGTATTAAAATTAGTCACACTAGCACGAGGAAATGTATTTTGTAAAAATGTTGATGGTCGACTTTCAGATGTAAGCAGCTGAAGAAATGATGGATCTTTAAAACATGTTTCTGAATTGAAGGTAGGCTGTTGTGGTTGCTGGACATTTATTGCATTTGTAGAGAGTATCATGTTGGCAAGAAGAGAGGGCTGGCTGTTACTCTGCAAAGCTTCTTGAGAAATTTCTGATCCTTCCAGTGGCTTACAGTAGGACCGTTTTGATAAGTGTCCACCTAGCGATCTGGGATTGGTAAAAACCCTGTAACACCTGCTACAGATAAATTTACCATCTCTAATTATTGCTGGCCACTTAGCCCTTTTGTTATGTTTTGGTTTTCTTTCTTTACCATTTGGGCCCCGTGCACGGTCTTTTTTATTTTTTTCTGGTGCTGGATGTTGAGGGGTGGTGGCACTGAAGCTGTTTGTAGTGTTTACTTCTGAAGTAAAAACTCTATTCTGAGCATTTTCTTCCTTTATGAAGGCAGAATTATTTCCTTCAATTTGTGAGAAGTGATTTGTATTGTTTTCCAGCTGGGAAAAGACTGAATTAGTTCCATTGTCTGCTGGTGAAGGAAAAAGAGATATTGAATTGCTTTCGGCAGGCAAAGGAAGGAAAGGATCTGAACCACTGTCAATATTTAATGGCAAAACTGTTTTTGCTATATCTTCCAACTGTGATGGCAATGCTGCACTTGACAAATTTTCCATTGGGGAACATAATACAGCACCAGGTTCACTTTTAACATGAGAAGGTATATTTGTACTTATGACACTTTCCACAGAGGGCAACAATGGGTTTGATAAATTTTCTAGATGAGTTGGAAAAAGAGGAGTTGAAACATGTGGCAACTGGGCTGAACAAGTAGGTTTCACGCTGGTTTTGGTCTGCGGCGTAAAAACAGCATTACTGGAACTGCTCACCTGTGACGGCATAAAATATACACACTTCCCATCATTTGGCATATTTAAGTTGTTGGATCTCTGTCTTCCTTTGCTTTTACGCTGCATTTTAAATGCAGCGTACTGGTCAGGATGTGCTGTTTTCATATGTTTTCCAATACTCTGTGAAGAATTATAAGATCGAGTACATCCTTCAACCTGACAACAGAATTTCTGAACTGGAGCTGTTGGGGGAACAGGTGGTGGAACTGGTGGTGGAACAGTTGGCAGAACAGGTGGTGGTGGTACAGGTGGTGGTGGTACAGGTGGTGGTGGAACAGGTGGGGGAACAGGTGGAGTCACTAAAGGACTGCTCAGACTGGATTGTGGTGGAACAAATGTGATACCTTCTAATGTCTTAAGTGGCAAGTTATAAAGACTAGATGTAGTTTTAGCATTACCTTCAAAGTCAAGTTTGGAAATAGGTAAATTGTTTTGAAATACTGCCTGATTTTGCAAGGTAAAGGTCATCAGGTTGTTAACTTGTCTTTCTAAATTTTGAGGTGCAAGATCACCTATTTTAAGAGGATCAGAATTTGCTGAAGTATTCTGAACATGCTGACCTTGATTCAAACAATTACTATTACTCTCTTTTCTTTCCTGCAAACCTGGAAGACAAGAATCATTACTAGCATCTTTAACATTTGTACATAATTTTGTACTGACAGATTTATTAATATTCATCATACAGCCTGCAGCAGCCAATTTTTCCTGCTTCACAATATTATCCTGGAGTCCTTGGCTGAGGGACACCTTAACATTATGGGTTAATGCAGTTGCTTCATTTGCTGGAAGAAAAGGAATAGCAGGGTTTTCTGAACCATTAGACAGAAGTGTATCAGCCTGCCCAAGCTCAGTGGCAGAAATTTTGGTTTGCTCAATCACAACTGATTCTGTTTTGTTTTGATCCCAAGCACTGTTTCCATCTACTGCTAAGTTGTTACTAGTGTTATTTTCTGAAGGAAGCACAGATTTCTCATTTTTTATATTTTCATCTGTGTTTTCACTCATTTTTGAAGGCTGAACTGACTCACCAGCTGTATTGTTTTGGACTTCAGGAGGCAGCACTTTTTCAGTATTGTGATCATCCAAATGCTTTTCGAGCTCACTCTGAGAACGATAAACTTTCCCACAACTTGTGAATTTGCAGGTATAGGTATTATAGTGCTGTGCTTCATGATCATAAAGTAGATAGGCTTCTGAAAATATTCTGCCACACTTAGGAAACATACATTTTGCTCTAAAGACCTGGTGCTCTTTTCTGTGTGTTAAAAGCTCTGCATAACTGTTAAAACCTGCCTTACATTTTATCTGTATGCAAATATAGGGTTTACTGCCACAGTGCATTTGTAAATGATCATTGAGATGAGTAACACTTACAAAATGCCTCCGACAATACTGGCAAATAACTTTTTTGCTTTGCATTTCAAGGAAACGCTTAGCTTCTTCATTATCTTTGTGTCCCTTGACATGAGCAATTAAATTTTTAAAGTATTTAAAACCCTTCTTACAGAAAGCTACAGGGCAAGTGAATTCATTGACAGGTATTGGCTTTTGAACGGGAATTGCATCAGGTTCATAAGATTTATCTTTGTCATCATTTTCATCATCTGAACCATCATTGTCATTGAACAAAATGAAATCAGCAGAATAAAGACTATTCTTCTTTATGGGTCGTTGTTCTTGTTTGGTTACAGTAACAGTCTTTGGATTCTGACTGGTGGCTGGTACTTTAGGAGGTCTTCCTAATCTCCTCAATGGTTTCATAGCAGCCAGTCTCTCCTTACTAGACTGTTTAACATGTAAAGTCACATGAGGAACAAAAGTTTCTTTAGAATTAAAATTTTTTGCACAGATCGGGCAACTGTAAACCCCATCTTTATAATGCTTCTGTGCATGTCTTACTATTCTATGACCCAGGAACTCTTTGTCACAAAGAACACAATACTGCATGTAGGCCTGCCAATTTCTAAACCTCGCTGATATAAATCCTCTCTCTCTTAACTTTTTAATTTCTTTCTTCTTTTCTTTCTCATCTCGTATACCTTTAAGAAGGCTTGTGGCTTCATCAAAACAGCCAGAAAGTCCATTCACAGAAGTTTCTTTTCTTTCTCCTTGGTAGTCTTCTACCTTTTCATACACTTCACTGTCATTTAGTTCATCAATTGAAGACACAATAGATGCCTCCTCTCCCATTAAAGCAAGACACTGTCGCTTTAAGGTTTTCCAGTCCCAGAACTCTGGATCAAAGGGCCATTGCGTTTTTAACACAAGTAAGAGCTCACAGCGCAGTGAATTGGGTATTGGGAGATTCTCTTCATCATATTTCTGGTCAGGCTGGTTATACAACATTTCAACAGCATAGTATGCATCAACTGTGGGTTCAAGAAGAAATTCACTCAGCTGACAAGCACGCTTGACCTCCAGATCTTCAGGCAACAAGCATGATATGGTTTTGCAAATAGATATCTTCACTTCAGTGTTTTCAGCAGAGTCCAATCGAAGAGCTTTCACACAGAGTTCAATGCAGGTAGCAAGCCCAGCTCCTTCTGTCTGTGAAAACCAAAGAATAAATGTAAACACTTAGTGATCTACAGTAATAGTAATTTGCAAAGTAAATGCTATTTTAAAAGAGGTCAGCTGTAAAAGCTGGAAGGGAGGATAAATGAGGAAAGAATATAAGAGTGGGATCCATGGAATTATAAAAGGGCAAAAGGATATAGCCACACCAGCCAAAAAAACCCAAAAAACAAAAAACAAAAAGCAAGCAGTTGAGAGAAAGAGACAGTATGGCACAGAAGCAAAAGAAAGGTAGGAAAGACATACGCAAAGTCTGACAAGGGAAATGTAGATTTTGGTGGATAAAGAAGTAGAAAATAGGCCAGTGAAACTTAGGCTGTTTTCTAGTTGAGAGGATATAGGGTGTCTGGCTAAAAGATAGTTGGGAGAAGATCTCTGGGACTTATCGGGATTTGGGCAGAACTCTTTCATGCTTTACAGATATCCTGAGACTTCACTTTGTTGACTCTTCTGTTATTTCTATCGTTCCTTAAATTTACTTCTACATTTAATTATCCCCAAGACATTCTCTACATGTATTTTTTCTAAATTATCTAAGATAGCTGTATTCCTTTATTTAAAATTTCCAATTTCTTATTCCACACTTTTCCCTCAACCACACCAAGCTCCTAAAGGACAGATATGACTTTTGTTTTTGTTTCTGTAAACCCAGAACTTATCACAGTGCTTGGAACAAAGTAGGTATTTCACTTAACCTCACTTACAGTTTTGTCAGTTGTAAAATGGGCATGACAATAATAGTACCTACCTCAAAGACTGTTAAGAGGATCAAAGGAGATAAAAACTGTCAAGTGCTTAGAATAGTGCCTGGCACATAGTAGGTGCTATATAACCGTGAGTGTGCCTATACTCTGGTTTCAATTAATTTATCTTGGGAACATGCATGATTGCCTTCCACTGATCTCAGTATTTATAAAGACTGACAAAATTGTATGTATACAGAATGAGTGCCAAAGACCCACTGTTAGTGCAAAAGCCATTTGACACAGTCCTCTCTTAAAGATGTCACAAAAGCAAACAAGCCTATTTAGAGGTTCTTCAAATAAAAAACAACAAATTCGCAACAACAAAAACAGTACTGCCCAGATGATGCATGATATTTATAAACCAACTAACTGGACTTCTCTCTTAGCTATTCTCTTAGCCATCTTTTAATTCTTCTGTCTTTTTTCCTTCCTTTTGCTGACCACCTTCCTTGGTATTGCTACATTTCTCTAGGATCATTATCAGTACCATATTTGCTTCTTTCTCCAGTTACAGTGTTTTTATTTTTTCTTTTGGGGGAAGAGGGAAGAAATGAAAATGAAGGGGCAGACAGAGTAATAGCTGTTTCTACATGTAGATCACTTCTAAATTATAGCTAAGAGAATATCAGAGTAGAAGAGACCTTAGGTATCACTTGCCCAACACTCATTTTATGAGTGAAGAAATCGAGGGCCGGGAAGTAAAATTACTTCTGAGTGGCTGAACCAGTGTTCTTCCTCTATTTTTACTATGCATGCTGCTTGTAAGTCAGATATTTTATGAGCTGGAGATGGACTAAAAATTAAAACAGCATGTTAATGTTTAAGAAATTAATCTAATTTGGCTATTACATCAACTAAAAGAAAGAGTATTACAAAACATGATGCTACAAACTTTATGGAGGAAAAAGTGGGAACAAGTTAAAGAATAACATAAGCTGCCCCAAGCATGAAGACTATTACCTTATATGATGATAATTTAAAAGAAATAGAAATCTTAATTTCTCTCTCTCTTTGTTCCTTAAAAGGAAGTTAGATGATACTAGGATTGAAAAATGAAGATCTATTCCCCTGATTAATCAAAAATTTTTTTGTTTTTGTCTTTTGGCTAGGCAATAGGGTTAAGTGACTTGTCCAGGGTCACACAGCTAGTAAGTGTCAAATGTCTGAGGCTGGACTCAGGTCCTCCTGACTCCAGGGCCAGTATTCTACCCATTGTGCCACCTAGCTGCCCCTCAATCAAAGTTTTAAGAACGAGAATTAAGTTTTTTTCCTTGGGGGGAGATGAAGGAAGGGGAGAGGTGACATGTTGAATGAGGCTAGGATGGACTTTCTTATTTTCCCGTTTCAAATAAATTACAAACAACATATACAATTTAGAAAAGTCAATCTTCTTATACTCTGGTTACTGATTCTATGCAATGTTAGCATTTCTAAAAGACTGTCTCCCTATTTATAAAAACAAAACCAAACCCTAAAAGCAACTGCATTCTTGACTAGAATAGTATTCTACAAAATAATCTAAAATAAACTGGTTTCATAAAAGGTGCACTCTGGGTAATCCTTAAAATAAATTTTTATTATATTTCTTTTTGGCTTCAAATTATTTAATTATTTCTAGTTAGAAAATTTCTATCTTGAATATTCTTAAATGAAAGAACAAGCATAATCTTCCTTACTCCTTCTGTTTTATTAAAAAAAGCCTAGAAGCACCCAATGAGAAAAGCAATAAAATATGGCTTTCATATGAACTGCTTTTTAAAGCTATGAGCAATTCACTCATAGTATTTTTCCTCTGTATATCCAAGTTTTCAAGTGTCAAATAAGAGAACATACTGCCTTACTAGGATGCTGAGAACACAATCATTAGCCAAAGTATCTTAAAAATATGAACAAGAAAAATAGGTGCCAATAAAAAAAGTCATCTATTAAATTTGAACACAGTTGATTATTCTTACCTCTGAATTAATAACTTTAATCAGGAAGAAAATGTGATAGACCGTCTTGGTTAACAAAGAAAGTTGACGACACCTCTCTAGATAAACTTGCACAGATGGTTCTACTCTTTGTTGTAATTTACTCCAAAAAAGAGTCAGTTCCCTAAAAGGAAGTTAAAAAACAACAACACTACTAAGATGATGCAAGAACATAGCAATCAAAGGCCATGCTAATCCAGTTTGTGAAATCAAATATAAAACTGGTTTCACCTTTCACTTCCTCTATGTGAAATTAATATTTGAAGAGTCTCTATTATTTTTAAAGAAATGATATATTTGTAAGCAGTGAACAACCTACTTTCCTTAATAGTTTTTCAATTTAGACAATGAGGTACCATACAAAGAAACATTTGCCACTTACTTGGACAAATAAAACCAATGATAATACATAATCCATATCTGAACTGGCAATATAAAAGATGGTGACAGTCATCAATGGCCATGTTGTTTTTTTTTTTAAATGCTTACATTTTAAAGTAGAAATAGACTATTTCATTAGATCTATTATTATTAGGCACCTTTATGAGAAGAACCAGTAATAATTTAGAACACAAAAATAAAACAATTTTATAAAGAAATATGCCACAAAATGAGAAAATTAAATTTAATGCTAAAAAAATTGAAATAGAGTTCTGGCTTCACTTAATTTCATCTCAAATAAAATACTTACATTTGTCAGAAGCAAATTAATTCTTCTGAAGGCAGAGTTCTCACACTTCCCTCTCTAAACTATTGTCTCATTTTTTCTCCTGTAAGAGCAATGACTCACAGTAGGAAAGCTTGCTAAGGCTAGATTAGGGTAAATATTTCTGTGTTCTGTAACTAGTCAATTGATAATAAAGTTGTTTTATTTCACCCTTTCCCTTCAGTTGTTAATAAAGCTATCTTTGACACCTCAACTTTTGTCTTAGGTGAAAAAACAAAATGAAAGGTCTGTGTCTGTGCCAGAGCCAGGATTATCTGGGGAAATCAAGCATCCTCAGAAGCCAGGTAAGGACTAGTAGCAGTGGTAGAAAGAGGCAGCTATGCTAATGACTGTGCAGGGAAGGCCTACTTAGAGAAAAGTAAGGAAAAGTTGTGCAGTTCTCGGTTGGGCTTTGGTTCTGAGTGCTATTTTCCTTCCCACCTGGGGCTACTGCTTTATGTCTCCCCCCCCCCCCCCCGCAAGGCTAACTTCTGCAATGAATGGTCTATCTCCCTGTCTCCATTTCCTTGCCAGGTATTCTACCCACAACTATACATTACTTGTTGGTATTTTCACAAGGTTCAGTTCCAGATTCTCTTCTCATTTCCCTCTAAATTCATTCCCTTAAAGATCCACTAATATGTTTCAATGTATAAATGGATAACTCTAAAATCTACATTTCTGGTTCTGATTTCTTCTTAGTTCCCAACCTCTATTTTTTCTACTGTCTGCCTTCATTTTGGGTGTCCTTTTCCACCAGAAAATGAAAATGTTTGCAGTCACCATACTCACTTCCTAATTTATCCACTGCTATCAATGGCATTCTCTTCCTACTGGTTGAAATCATTTGATACTTTTTTCCACCTACTCTCTCTAAATCCTATTCTCTCATGTATCCTTTTCCTCTTTCTTTCTTTCTTTCTTAAAGGCAATTGGGGTGAAGTGACTTGCCCAGGGTCACACAGCTAAGTGTCTGAGACCACATTTGAACTCAGGTCCTCCTGACTCCAGGGCTGGTGCTCTATACACTGCAACATCTAGCTACCTCTCTTGTGTATACTAAACCAAAGGTACCAAACATGCTATGCAGCCCATAGCAAGTGTGGCAGGAACCAGATTAAAATGTAACTGGGAAATACTTAACAAAATAAATAAAAATACAATAAAACATAGATAAGATTACATTTTAAACCTAAGTAAATATGCTGCTGATAGAGATCCTTTTTTATGGATTAGTGGCCCCTGATTCTATATGAGTTTGACATCACTAGCCTTTACACTCTATTACATCAAGGCTGTCACTTCTGCTTCGGCAACATCTTTTTGATCTGTTCATTTATGACAAGCACCAGAAAGGCCTTATAACCTCACAAATACGCTTTTGGGTGGAAGCTTGAGCTAGGTCTCTAATGACCTTTCCAACTCTAAGATCCTATAATTCTACTTTAGTTGTTCTATTTGCCATGTAGCTTCCTCCTCCATCTCTAATTTCTCCATTCTTCAATTCATTTTGTACTACTAAGATAATTTTCCTCAAACATCATTCGCATCATGTCATTCTCCTACACAGGAATTTACAAAGTGTGTCTCTTTGGATATCAAATTCAAAATCTGGTTTCAAGGTCTTTTACAAATTAAACATCACATCATCCTAAGATCTTAATACTTTCTGTCAGAAGTACACTGCTTCAGCATTAGCAAATCTTTTTATCTGTTCTGGCCAGAGCTTATTCAGTTTCCTTTTACTGCCCTAGCAGAACTCATTCTCCTAAATGCATTGTTTCCTATATGTCAAAACCATGCCTCCTCTCTAGTCCTTAAAGATCTGGGGTGAAATGATCCATTTAGGGAAGCTTATTTACTGACTATTTGCTATGTTTGATATGGTCTGATTATTAATTTTTCCTTACATTTATATTATATATATTCAAATCTATGTTATAAATATTATGAAAATTTCATTATATGCTATTATTTTAAAGGCCTTGAAGGAAAATATGTCTTCTTATTTATTCTGTTTTCCCTATAGCAACAAAGCCAGTAGAGGCTGGAGAAAATCTAGGATGCCAAGAGAAAAGACAAGGACTTCTGGCAGGAGGAGAAACAGGTCATCATGCTAACAATCCTGGGTGCCTTTCTGAATAAAAATTCCTTTCCAGCAAACTGTAAGCTTTGTGAGGTCAAGAATAGCTCCTATTAATCTTTGTATTTGCCTCTGCATCCTTGCACAGTACTCTGAAGTAGACATGTAATAAATATTTACTAAAATGAAACAAAACTTAAGCAATTTTAAAATGAAGCACTTAATAAACATCAAAGAAGTATGTAATAACTGTCTGTAAGTCATCACTACTGAAAAAATCTAAAGGAATTTTAGTTAATAGTGGTTAATACTTCTTTTAAATCACTGCTACTATTCTGTTTTTATGAATTAAATTGGTCTTTAAAAAAATAATTAACTCACCAGGCACAATACATGTCTCCTTGTTGCAGCTGGCGGGACAAAAACGCAGTACATAAAACCAGAGCACTTTTTTCATCTCCATCAGATTCTAAGTTACATATCATTTCTAGTGCATCTTTGCAATCAACTGCTGAGATCTAAGGGAACAAAAATATACACATAACAGATTTTATATTTGGGTACATGTTGACCTAATCTATCATTTTGGAATTTCTATTAGAAATTTATGGCTTAGGATCCAATAGTAAAATCTCATTAACTCGGATGCCACTAATTAGAACCATGGAAGTAAGCACTGAACTTAATTTATTGATCTTGAAGCCAACATTATAAACACTTAAGAAAAATAAGTTATTTTCAAGGCCTTCAAAAGTGAACAAGTAACATTCTAATTATATACTTATATCCTCATTGAAACAGGTCCATTAAGGACCTAGTAGGTAATTACCTAGTAGGTAATAATTTGAAAGAAAATACATACACTTAAAAACAAGTTAACAGTATTTTCTTTGAATCATATATGTCAAAGGATTTTAAGTCATTAAGTACCTGAGTAATTATGATGTGCAAAATAAAAACTCAAAAATTAGAAACTCAGGAAGTTTTCTAACAAGTTGTCTACTTATTAGTGGAAAGGACAAGGAGTGATGAAAAAACTTTTCTGGGGTTCTGCTGACAGTTTCCAAAAGATCTTCATTGGTTCCCCCTCACCCCATTTCAAAGCCAGTTAATATTCATGAACACACATCCTGAGGGTTCAGACAGAATGCATTATCAGATTCAAATCTAAATAATGATAACGATGACAAGATGATGACAAATGGCAGTTATATAGTCTTTAAGGTCTGCAAAGGATTTAGCCAACAAATCCTTTTTATTCTGGACATATATGGCACTATATTGGCCACTATTCAAAATCAGTTAAATATATGTAATCCTACTTGTTAGAAGTTTATGAAATAAGATAACAGATAGCCACATAGATAACTAGTATTACCATGGAGAACACAATGCCACTTGGGTTGTGGTCATTGCAAACGATTTGTGGAGAAAACATTTTTTCCCCATGGTAGACCCAGCAATTTCAGGTTTCTGAAGTAACTGATCCCCTAGAACCTCCTTCCTCTTATTATCAGCCAGATCTTTTCTCCTCTTAACTTCTGCTACCTCTGGGCAGGAAGAAGCAAGCATAAGAATGAGGGTGGTTTACATGTCCTCCTGCCTGCTTAAAAGGAAGCAGCTGCTGAATTCCCTAGCAGCAATTAGGCAGGTGAAAGGAGAAAACAAGAACTATCACTAGATACTACTGTGGTTCTAGAGGGCTGCGGTGGCAAAATTTGGACAGAGAAAGGCTACCCAAGAAAGAGGTAGCTAACTGTAGAAGGAGGAAATGAAGGCCGTGTTAGAGCTGTTATACCATTGTTTCCCCTGCCTGTGTCTTTCCCACCTCCCTCCTCCTGCACTATGCTGTAGGGTATAGAAGGATTTTCATATATTCCATAATACATAAGCTAGAATTTCTTTATATCCTCCATCCATCTGTTTCTCTTATATAAGTATCAATTGAGAATAGTATGTGAGACCTAAGTAGTTATACATCCAAAGGTTGAGGCCAGTTCATGAAGAAGGCATAAATTCAAGAAATGTCTGAATATTGAAGGGAGAAGTGACTGGTAAACAGATGAGAAAAAGGGGTACACTGAGACAAAGCTCAAAAAATATGAGAGTCAACGGCGGTGATGAATAGGGATAACTAAGAAAGTAGAAGGAAAAGGCTGAAAGTAGATGAACAAAAATGAAATTAGGCAAGGTGTAAATTAAGGGATTTGACAGACAAGAATTCCATCCTTATACAAGAAGAGGCAAGAAATTAGAGCCTTACACAAGGTACAGTAGTGACTTAATCAAAGGACAGAAAAAAATACTTTTGCATTATTTCTAAAGAATAAAAGGAGGGGAGAGATTCTGGAAGCCCTATAGAAAATACACTACTAAAATTCAACTACTGCTTTGACACCCCGAATCATCACCAAAGTGTACCTGCTGTATTATGACATCTTTGATTTCCTTTCTTCTTTTTGCCAATTCTTGATAGGAGAAACAGGATCAAGTACGTATAAACACTAACATGTGATGTGGTTGTGGATAAGACAGATGGTTAACTGGAATGGGAGTGAGGTTGCTAAGTATGTTAGACGGAATACTGCAACGTGTAGATAAATTCACAAATCGTCTACCATGAAATAAAAAAGGTTGGGGGAATATAATGAAGCTGACAGATAATTTGTAATAAAGCCAATCATTTTCATGACCTACAAAAATTAGGGACTAGACTATCTCAAAATTCTCTTTCAGCTCTGGATCATAGGATGCTATAATTCTCTGGCTGTTCACAGGGTGCAGGGTAGGTTTGAAGAAAAAAAAAAGCATATCTTTGTGAAATTTAAAGCACATATTACATTAACTGGGGTATATAATAATACACAGTAACATACCAGGGAGGTATGTCACAAATTTCATAAAGGTTTATGTGGTAGGAAAACCTATATATTCAAGGAAGTTGTGCAAAAAGTACATTTGAATTAGGCTTTAAGGGGTAGGGACTCAAAAGACAAAGAAGGAGAGGATACTGCAGTTAACGGGAAAAAACCATGACAATCAATCACTCATCAAACCTTTACTATGTACATACTACGTACTAGGTACTGTGCAAGACACTGGGGATATGAAACAATTCCTACTGTGAAGGAGCTTAAATTCTATCAGAAAATACAACATGTTATATGCAAAATAGATACACAGTGATTTTCTCAAGGGAGGGCGCTAGCAGCAGACATTATCAGGAAAGGCTTCATGTGGAATATGGTGTTTGAGCTAAATCTTGAAGGAAACTGGGGTCCTAAGAGGTGAAGGTGAGGAAAGAGGGCATTTCATACATGAGAAGTAGCAAGTACAAAGGGCCAGGGATGATAAATGGAGTGTAATACATTAAGTAACAGTAAGAAGATCAGTTTACTAGGGTGAATGAAAGGGAGAACACTATAAAAGGCTGGAAAGAGAAACTGAGGGGCAGCTAGTACTAAGGGACAGAGATGAGAAATAGAGCACAGTATATAAGTAAAAGTAAGAAGGTCAGTCTGACTAGGGTGAATGAAAGGGAGAAACATATAAAAGGCTGGAAAGGGTAATTGGTGCCAAGTAGTAAAGTGGTTTAAATGCCAGAAAAAGGAATTTATATCTGATCCAACACATAAGAGGGAACAACTAGTGCTTATCAAGCAAAGGACAGAGATGGCCAGATTTGCATTTTAGGACAATAATTTTGGCAGTTGTGTGAAGAACAGATTGGTGTGGGGAAAGGTTTGAAGCAGGGAAGTATTAGGAGGCTATTACAATATCTGGGCCAGAGGTGATGAAGACTGGAATCACGGTAGCTTTATAGATGGAAAGAAGGTGAGGGAAGTGTGAGATGCCACTGAAGTAAAGACAAGGAGATATGGCAACTGAGTGAATATATTAGTCAACAAACATTTATTAAGACTTTATTATGTTCGATGTACTGTGTGCTAAGTGATGGGGGGGACCAAGAAAAGCAAAAACAGTCCCCATCCTCAAGGAGCTCACAATCTAATAGGAGGAACCATACAAACAACTTTGAACAAATAAAATATGTATAGGAAAAACTGAAGATAAAATCTGAGGGAAAGCACTAATAAGAGTAGGAATGGGAAAGGTTTCTCACAGAAGGTAATTTGGCTGGGATTTGGAGGAAGCGAAGAGAAGTCAGGAAATAGATGAACAGAGAGAATTCTAGGCATGATGGATAGCCACTGAAAAGGCCTAGTCTAAATACATTGTTTTGTTTGAGGAACAAGCAGGCACAGACTATAGGAAAGGGAGCAAGTTACAAGACTGCAAAGATAAGAGGTTTCAGGTTATGGAGGGTTTTAAAAGCCAAACAGATGATTTATATTTGATCCTGGAGGCAAAAGGAATCCAATGAAGTTTACTGAACGTGTGTGTGTGTGTGTGTACATGTATGCGTGTGCTTGCGAAACACAGTCAGACCTGAAATTTAGGAAGATCACTTTGATAGGTGATTGGATGTAAATGAAGTGGCGAGAGACTCGAAGCCAAGCAACAGGCTACTGTGATAGTCCAGGTGTAAGATGATGTGTGGATGAGGGTGAAGAATAGAAGATGACATCTTCTAATGTGTCATCTTCTAATCTGGATGACTAGGAAGATGCTAGTGCCTTTGAAAGAAATAGGAAAGTTTGAGAGGAGAATTTTTAAGGAGATACTGAACTCTTGTTTTTAAAATGTTGAGTTTGAAATGCCTATCTACGTAGTTTTATATCTTATCTCTCCAATAGGCAGCTGGAGATACTGGATTGCTGTTTTAGGGTGAGGTTGGGGGTAAAGTCCCAAATTTTTGAGTCATAGGATAAAAGTGTAACTGAAAGCATGGGAATAGAAGAGATCACCAAGGGAGATAATGTAGAGAAAGAGAAGAGGGTCAAAGACAAATCCTTGGGGAACATCCTCATTTAAGACATATGAAGAACATAAGGAACCGAGATAGGAAACAGAGAAGTAGTCAGAAAAAAAATGATGAGAGTAAAGCTCCAGAGAGGTCAAGGAAAATGAGGGCTGAAAAAGCAAAAGTCATGAGATTTAGAGATCAGGAGTTGTGACCTTAAAAAGAGTTGTTTCATTTTAGTGAGAGAAGACAGAAACCAGACTTTAAAAGAGTGGGGAGGGGCAGCTAGGTGGTGCAGTGGATAGAGCACCGGCCCTGAAGTCAGGAGGACCTGAGTTCAAATCCAGCCTCAGACCAAACACATGATACTTACTAGCTGTGTGACTCTGGGCAAGTCACTTAACCCCAATTGCCTTAAAAAAAAAAAACAGCGGAGAGTAGGTAGATAGGCAGATATAATGGTAGTGAGTAGAACTATTCTTCATAGAAGTTTGGCAGTAGAAGAAAATGGTATGATGAAGCTGGAACTTAGTTCCCTGAGCTGGATGGTGGGCATCCAGGGAAGACTTAGTGGGAGATAAGTGAGACAAAAACAGCAGGATTCAGATGGCAGGGGGAAGGAGTTAATAGAGAAGGAGAGCATCACGATTAGACTAACAAAGGACCAAAGTAAAGGAAGAGAAGGGTGGGGACAGAATCAATGAAAATGAGGATAGCCATCTCTTTCTATGAGACCAAAGGAAAGGAGACCTAAGACACAGAGAGATTTAGAAGGAAGGAGTGGAAGAAGTTCACATCAGGTAGTCTTCATTTTCTTGGTAAAGTAGGAAGTGAAACAATGTGTTCAAAGTGAGAACAGAGGAAGTACAATTGGGAGCATGACGGAAGAGAACCCCTAGTAAAGCTGCTATAGGTGAAATCATACAGAGTTAATAAAACATTTTCATGCAGTGATAAGGACCTAGTTGAAGTTAAATTGCATACATTTTTAGTGGACCTAGTCCACTAGATTTCTACTTGAAGGTAAAAAGAATGAATGACAGTGCCAGAGATAAGGTGGTCACGTGGTCTAATGAAGTATTTATGAGATAACGGAGAAATAATGTTTGGATAATGCATTCAATGAGTTTGGGAAAAGTAGCAGAGAAGGTGTATTGACTGGACGGAAAATCAGGAGGGAATGGTAGAAGGTCAAGAGGACAAGGGATTCAAAGATGGAGTTACCTTTCCATTTTCAGACTTAAAGACAAGACAATAAATTACAATTACACTTTCTGCTGAAGATAAACAGCATTACTGATGATTTCTGGGAAAAGAGAGCATAAAAATGGGAAAAGGACCGCCATGTACAAAAATATTTCTAGCAGCTCTTTTTGCGGTGGCAAAGAATTAGAAATTGAGAGGATGCCCATCAACTGTGGAATGGCTGAACAAGCTGTGATATGTGAATGTAATGGAATACTACTGGGCTATAAGAAATGATGAGCAGGCAGATTTCAGAACCTGGAAAGACTTATATGAACTGATGCTGAGTGAAATGGGCAGAACCAGGAGAACACTGTACACAGTAATAGCCACATCGTATGATGACTGACTTTGACAGACTTAGTTCTTCTCAGCAATACAAGGATCTACGACAACTCCAAAAGACTCATGATGGAAAATGCTATCCATATCCAGAGAAAGAACCATGGAGTCTGGATGCAGATTGAAGCATACTATTTACCCTCTCTCTCTCTCTTTTTTGTTTTGTTTTTTCTTTCTTGTGGTTCCTCCCATTTGTTCTAATTCTTCTTCACAACATGACTAATGTAAAAATATGTTTAATAACAATGTATATGTACAGCCTATATCAGACAGCATACTGTCTTGGGGAAGGGGGTGGAGAGGGAGGCAGAGAAAATTTAAAACTCAAAATCTTATGGAAGTGAATGTTGAAAACTAAAAATAAATAAACTAATAAAAATTATTTATGGAAACATTTCTTTGCATAAGAATTAAAATGCTTTTATGTCTCCTGCAAAAATAAACCAATTTGAAGTTCTTAAAAAGAGTTGTCCACTCAAAAAGGTTTACAATTACTTTTCATAAAGGAAGAGTTATTAGACAAGAATTCATTTCTATGAATAAGTGAGAAAGAATGGTTATTTAGGAACCTGGAGATGCTTAAGAAACCTATGTAAATAAATGAAAGTGTAGAATCTGGTCAGAGTGGTACCATTTAAATTACTTTTGGACCCTTTAGAAGGTAAAAATAGGACCTGTGATTTCAGTGGTACAGAGAATCTCAGCAGCAGGAAATTCCTTCCATCAATGCAGGTGGGCACTTTCTCTGCCTGTAGCACTGAAAAGCTAAACTATCTGCCTAGGATCACAGAAGCAATCAGCAAGCATTTATTTAACTGCCTACTATAGGCTAGATACCAGGGATATAAGGACAAAAATGAAATAATCCTTACTCCCAAGAAGTTAACATTCTAATGAAAGGGACAAGAACATATATTAATATATACAATATAAATACCAATACATACAAAGTAGTTAAAGGTGGAGCACACTAGAAGTTCGGGGGAATTAAGAAAAGGCTTCATGCAGAAGATGGTACTGGAGCTGCATCTTCAAAGGCAAATGAGACTCTCTAAGGCAGAGTTAAAGGAAGGAGCACATTTCAAGGCAAGTGGGATAGGTTGTGGCATGGGAGATGGGAGTGTCACATGTGTAGAATAGAGAAAAGGCCAGTTTGGCTGAACAGCAGAATGCAGCAGAAGGAGTAATGTCTAGTAAGACTAGAAAGGTTAGAAATAGGGTTATGAGGAAAAAGTTAAATGAAAGAATTTATATTATATCCTTTATTTTATTTATTTTTATTTTTTATTTTTTCCATATGCTTTTGAGTTGAAAATTTTTCTCCCTTTTTCTCCCACCCCACCCTCCCCAAGACGGCGCACAATCTGACATAGGTTTTACATTTACATACCCATTAAACATATTTTCACATTAGTGAAGTTGTAAGTAAAAATTAAAACCAACAGGAGGAACCATCAGAAAGATGAAACAAAACTCAACAGAAGGTAAAAATAAGTGAGAGCGATTCGACTTCCATAGTTCTTTGTTTGGATGTGGACAGCCTTTTCCATCCCGAGGCCTCTGGAGATGTCTTAGATCCTCGTAATGCTGAGAAGGGTTCAGTTTAACATTCTTAGTCATTGCATAACGTGGCTGCTATTGTGTCCAAAGTCCTACATTATATCCTAACAGCAACAAGAAGCTACTGGAGTTTACTGAGTAGAGAAGCCACACGGTCAGATATGTGCTTAAAGAAAATTATTTGGGCAGCAGTGTGAAATATGGATGTGACACAAGGGGACTAACGAGAAGGCTGCAATTAACAAGGCAATGGTAATGAGAGCCTGGTACTTGTGGGCATGGAAAGAAGGGGTCAGACATGGAGGTAGAAATGGCAAGATTTGGCAACTGATTAGATATATGAGGCAAGTGAGAATGGGGAGTACAGGACAATGCCCAAATCACAAACCTAAGACACTGAAAGGTTGGTTGGGCTGTCAACGGAAACAGAGAAATTATAAGAGGGGAAGAAATTTAGGGGAAAAGTAATGAATTCAATTTTGGACATACTAAGTTTGAGATGTCTAAAATATATTCAGTTTGGAATATCTGATTAGGTAGCAATTGTGATGTGGGCCTCAAAATGGCTCAGGACTGTGAGACCCAATTAGGTACCAACAGAGGGAAGACAAGGACAAAATCTTGGGGAACACCCACAGTTAGAGAAAGAGTGTGATAAGGATGATAAGCCAGGAATGACAACTGAAAAGGCAGAATTTAAAACAAGTCTTCTTGGTTCTGAGGCAGGCTCTCTACCCACTATGCCACAATACTTCTCATTACCATTTAGTAATTGCTTTAATGTTTTCCCTATTGTTTAGATAGTAATTTTTCAAGTGTTGGAACTCTCCAAATTTTTACTTCCTCCAACTTCACCTAAGAATTACGTACATTATCTGATGATAGAAAAAAAATTCTTACCTCAAACAGAGGTCCTAATTATTTTGAAAAATCACTTTTTTTCTACTTTAAGCTTTTAATTATCATTGGATCACAGGATTACAGGATTTAGAGATTGAAGAGAACAGATTATCTAGTCCAACCCCTTCATTTTACAGATGGAGTTATAGAGAATTAAAATGATGACTTGCTTAAAGTAATTTTTGTTCCAATGGGAAGTTAATAATAATTTATATCAGGATGATAAAACTCAAAGAAGATTCAGATGAGGTACAAATTATTATCTTTTTTATTTAAAAAGAAAAATATCCTTCATGGGGGAAATGGTCATTTAAATTCTGTACAATGACTTTGGAAGTATTAAAAAATAGAAAGATATGTAAAAACTAAAGTGTAAGGTCCTAGGAGGTCAGGAATTGTATTTTAATTACCTCTTCACCCTTCTCAGTACGAACATATTGCATTGCATACAGAAGACATTTAATAAACATTTTTGAATGTTAAATTCATGACAAGTTAAGTGTCTTGAAACTATACAAACTGAAGATAACTTCAAAATCTGACACAAAATAATGATTTTTTAACTATCACATCTTTCCTATAATTTAACTGCATTCTTTAAGAGAACAGTATCAGCTAAAATATAGCAGCTCAAAAAATTTACAGACAGTAGAATGGACTAAGAGAATTCCCTCTATTTAAAATCAATAAGCAAACCAAGAGTCTATAAACAGTTAATTACCCAAGACTAACTTGAAGGATGAGAAACAAAAACCTTATGACCTCCCCCCGACCTTGAATTAATAATCCCTAAAAATTCATGCCTATAAGTTTTAGAAGCAATCTCAGTAAAGAAAATATACTTACCTCTTCAATTAATTTGTCATTTGGTGATGCTGTGCTGAGACAGACAAGGTAGGTTTGCTTAAAACTGCCCTTTGTACCAAGCTCTGGATGGTCGGAACACAGCTTTGCTAAAGCCGTAGCTTGGCTTAACTGATTGGCTTTGATTAGATGTTTAATTCTCATATCCAACAAGATGGGTCCCTCAAAGGCTAAAAATTCATTCACTTTGAAAGACAAAACATAACACATTATTAACAGAAAATACTATATGTGATAATACTATATTTGAAATATAAATATTCCAAAGGAATTAAAAAAGCCAAAAGGGCAGACAGCACTAAAAACATTTTGTAACTGCCATTGTATCGTTAGGCTGTTTTTTCTTTTTTTTTTCCATAAAGTTCCTGACCTTAAAAAGAGTTTATATTTTCAAAGAGTTATTAATAATTTCTGTCCACTAAAGTAACATATTAGAAGAAACACTGTAATAAATTCTGAAATACTTTAAATTTAACAGGGATAGAAATAATTCTACATTAAAATTGTCCAAAAACATACTAAATTCTTTTACATGATAGTTAACTCTAAGTAATAACATTATAGGTTGGAATCCTTGGAGATTCCTAATGGTCACATAAATGTGGACATGGTATTGCAGAAGGTTTTAAACTGTGGTTTTAATTTACATATATGAAATGTTTTTCTTCCCAAGAATTCAAGCCCTATTTCATTTGTGCAGTTTGTCTGGACAAGTCATATTTCCTGAAAAGTAGAGCCTATAAACTGTTAATCTTTGTATATTTTGTTTCTCAAGTGACAAACTATTTGAAGTCCCTTTCTAACCCTCTGGTTTCACAGTGGTGTGTTAATCACCTACAAAGAGGAACTTCTGGCTTAAAATATAAAATTTTATATGGTGATAACATGAACTAGTTTTTCTTTTTAGCTAATGACAATATCCCATAAATAATAGTGTTTTTCCTATTTACAAATGGAGTACAATACTTACCTACTACTAATTGTTTTTTTTCCCTTTAGGTATTTATTCTTTACTTTTTCTTAGTATTTTGTGAACTACTTATAATACTCTAATATAATGACTAAGTTCTGAATGTCTTGATTACTTAACATAGTTTCTCAGCTTTAAAACTAAATGACTCACAGAAATCTCAGGTTTGGAAGGTACCACTGAGGCTCTCTAGTCCAATCTGTATACAAAAGTACCAGAGTGAGAATCCCCTCTACAACATACCCGGCAACACTAGGCAGCTCTCCAATGTCCTTTGGGCAACCTGCAACTTTGATTCTTTAAAGATTGTGGTGTTCCAAGATTTGTCACCTACAGCATATGACCTGGAGAACATTTGTGTTTAAAAAAAAGATGTGGTTTTGTACTCGGCACACCTTGGGATTGTTGAAAGCACTGTGCAATTTACCAAATGCCAACCACTGTTTTCTTCCTTTTATTCAGTTCTGAGGCTAACATTGTTTATTTGCAGTCATCTTCCCAGGTGCATGCAATAATATAATAATTTAGGGGACTGACCACTCAACTCTCTGTTTTGGTTTGGACAATGGGCATTTTTCATGCATTTAGTTTTCTCATTTTTTCCTCTGTATGATTAGCAATTACAAAGAATAAAAGAATCTTGGACCAAGAAAGTACTTCAATGGCTATCAGGTCCAAGCTGTACCTTAATAAGAATTTCCTCTAAAATAAATCCCATTTTACATTTTTCTCTTTTCAGTTTAATCTTATATATATAAATATGGCCAATTTCTCAGGTCCAACAAGATCTTTCTGTAACCTAACTACATAACACAATATATAACCTATTCTAGTTTTGTGTCAACTTTAAATTTGATAACAATCCAATATATGGTTTCATCTACAACACTGATAAAAATATTAAGTAGCACAAGTCAAGGTCAGGTCCATTAGTCACTAACTGATTATTCCTTAAGTCCAAACATTCAAATAGTTCTTAATAAACAATGCCAATATATAAAAGTCAAACTACATAGATATCACATAATTTGTTATTTTTCTGGTGTCCTTTCTTCTATTCCTCTTCTAAATTTTTTGACCCCATTTCTCTTCTACTCTTCTCCATATCAAACTAACTCAAGAAAGTAAAAGATTAAATACATAAAATAAATGTTAACAACATCTAGTTTGATAAAAAAAAAACGCTGATATACAGGGCAAGATTTTTTCAAATGTCAATAAGAGGAAAACTGTCAGCAATTTTTGTGTTGTGTTGAGTGTCATATGGGGAATACAATATGTGATTTTAAATCTAAGTGTAAAGAAAATAATGAAACAAAAATGATCATTATTCTGACTGTAAACAAGTCAAAGTTACTATACTAGCTTCTACTTTCTAAATCTATCTTCTCTGGAAAGGTAAGCTAGAGACGCACAAAAGAAAGCAATTATTTCAAAATAATCCTTCAAAGGCTCAAGATGAGATCATCGTTAAAGAAGTTATTTTGAGAGATGGCAAACATGTCAACCAAACAGATGGTTGGATTTCCTAACATCCCAAATCGAAAAAAAGGAAATTAGATTGGGAAAATGGGCAAAGAGAAAGTGTTACAATGAAAAATTAATCTCACGAAAAGTGGATTTAAATATGAAGGCAAAATTAAAGTTATTAATTAAAGGTTTTGAAGAAAAGGGAAAAAAAGAACCTTTGGGCTAGGACAAATCTAACCCTCAGGATAATGGTAAAGTTCATCCTGGACGTAAGCTGTCAAAAAATATTATACAGATTGTTATCTTTTTCAAGATTAAGCAGTTAAGGAGGTACTAAGCTATTAAGCAAGTAATCATTTTTCAAAGAGGAGAGATAAAAAGTGATAACCTCGGCCCAAATAAACTATAAGGGTGTGCATGATAAAACTAACAGTACTTACCTCTGTCTCTCTATTCTCTGTCCCTTTCTTTCTTTACTCCCTTGTTCAGGAGTTATCACCTTACTCTGTTTCCTCAATCCTCATTCTCTTTTCTTTAACTGGCTATAAAATGGGACTTAAGTATTTTATAGTTTTTTCTAAACATTTTCAAAATGGTTTTGTGCTCCTTGCTCCTATTTTAAAAGTGAGCTGAACTGTATTAAATAATCATGGATTCATGTAAAGTCCTTTGTTTTCTTTGTGTAAATGGAAATGATCATGTTTGATGTCTGTCAAATAAAAACTAATTAAAAAAACCCATTCAAACTGTAAGACGGATGCCTCATATTTCATGATAAAAAATCTTAAAATTAAGGTAAGAAAGTTGAATATGTCACATATCACAAAAATAAGTTTCCTAAAAAATTAAATTGGCTTTTACATTGAGACCTCTCAGCCCTTTTCTCTGGAGCAAATGACAACAGAATATTAAGAACACTTGTCTGCAGAGTTTTACAAGTATTAATTTTGAGCTTCGCATAAACCTTGTGGAAGTGCTGCAACATTAGCCCCATTTTTCAGATGAGGAAACAGGCTGAGAGAGGTTAAGTGATGTGTTTTTGAACACATAGTTACAAAATATCAAATGTGAGATTTGAACTTAAAAGTCGTTCTGACTTTCAACATCCTATCTGCTCTACTAAGGAAGAAACTTTTGTGACCTATTTTAGCCACTTGAAAAAAAAAAGCCTGATAGATATCATAAAGTGTATCTTATTAAGCTTTAAAACTAGCATTCGAATTAATGGAAAGACAGTTTTTATTTTACTCACCTCTATTAATCCATAAAACTTTAATGATACAGAGAAACATGGAATATTAATTTTCTTACTACTGAAAAAGATTAATTGCATACCAACTAAAGCTGAAATTTTAAGGGTTAAATTTCATTCATTCATTACTACTTGGGATCATTTTAACCCTTCAATAAATGAAGGTCGGTTTTTTTTAAAACATATTTAAAGAAAATAGTTTTTATCACAGCCTTTGCAGTACTGGCAGTTATGATTTTATTTGATCAAATTTGAAGAAAGAAGAATTCTGTTTGGGGAACAAGATTTAGTTGGCTCAAAGTGATAATAATTAGCATTTACCACTTTATATATCAGACTCTGATATTTGTCGATTGGTAGAACAACGGACTTGGGATCAAGAGGCCTAGGCTCTAATTCTGGTTTTGAGACAGCTCTGTAAGAAAGTCAACAGAGACTGTTTTTCATTTTTGTGTCTTTGTACCCCCAATGCCAAAATGTCTTTTGAATTAAATTAGTAGCTATGTGACTTTGGACAAGTCATGTTACCTCTCTTAAGCTCAGTTTCCTCATTTGTAAAATGGGAATAACAATGCTTATACTACATACTTTTATAAGGGTTGCTTATGAGCTATATGGGCTTGTGAGAAAAATGCTTTACTAACAACCTTCAAGTGATATATAAATGTGGGCTGTCATCATTGCAATATTTGCTATCACGTTAAGAGTGGGGGGGAAGCTACCTGACTTCCAACAATTAATATTCAATTATTTTGTAACCAATAGGCAATGGGAATCATTTGTAATTTATGCTGAATTCATGTCAATGGTACATTGAACCAGTTCCAGTCCATTTCCCCAAGATTAGATCAGATCAACAGTGTTCCTGTATTCCCCAAAAAATAACTGACAATAATTTACTTTTTTTGTAGAAAAGAAACTAAGTTTCACAATTTCTATAAAAAATTTATGATGAAGGCACAGATTCTCTTCATCAAAGCTATTTCAAACCTATACTTGTATGGAACTGAAATTTAGGGAAATAGTTTTTATAGTCCTTGCCAAATCTGATGAGTTCTCCAGAAGTCTATTTCAAAATACCTTTAGTTGATTTTTAAGTGTTTTCAGTAATGGTTTTTAGGGAGGTCTCTTTCTGAACTTCAGAAGTTCATTTAAAACAAAATTTTATTTCCTCATGCAATTCCAAAGGTCTTGTACTGTAAGTGTGAAGGAAAGTGCCTAGGTTTTTTAGTAGTCTATTTTTAGAATCCTGAGATGGTTTAACTGTGTATTCCTAGCTAACCAGGCCAATTAAAAAACTCAATTTGTTTTATCTTTGTTTACTAGAAACTAGCTGAGTAGAATTACTGTATTGCTCAGAATAGAGGGCACTCTCCCCTAAAATGAGTTCTGAAAGAAAAATAACCATAGGTAGCCTTATATTGAAAATAATTACATCAAATTACTGTATTATTTTGAAATATTTATTTCAGAGAGTAAGAAAAAATACTTCAATTCAAATTAAGGTTTTTTTTTAGACTGTCATGTTTCTCATTGCAACTTGTCAGGAAGATAGCTATGAGGATTAAAAAATAAAACCAAGTTACAGTTCTTATACAGACAAGACAGATATGGGGTGTGGCTTATAGTTGGTCAACATAATATCTGTATCTGTTGTGCCTAAATAAAAGGAAGAAGCAACAATAGAAACTATTGGGACTAAAGCTTGCTTACATTTAGTATGGACATTTTTTGTGGGCTTCTTTTGGCGCCACCATTAATTTCACTGTTTCAGCCACTTAAAAAAATTCAGTATTTTAAATAGTGGTATGTAACTGTTTGTTAACAAGACAAACGTAGGCAGAAGTTCCAAATTACTCTTATAGATGTTTTTTTTTTTTAAACTGGAAATACAACTAACTAAAATCTTTTTTTTTTTTTTGGTGAGACAACCAGGGTTACGTGACCTTCCCAGCGTCACACAGCTAAATGAGTGTTATGTGTCTGAGGCCACATTGGAACTCTGGTCCTCCTGACTTCAGGGCTGCTGTGCCACCTAGATGCCCCTAACTAACTAAAATCTTAAGTCAAATTAATGTGATTCACATTTCTTATAAGATTTTGCTTTCTCTAAATGATTACAGCTGGTAGAAGTATTTGCATGATTTGGTTCTTTAATTTAAAATTAGCTTCTAAACAGTATTTTATTCAATACCACCAACACTGAAAATTTAAAAAACCCACTAATTTATAAGGACACTTTATTATTACTTTTTTTCTGTTTCTACCAAAAACATAGGTTTAATTGCTAATCTCCTAGAGAAGGAAATCACAAGTGGAAAGTTACATTATCAGGAGTTAATGCATTTCACAAAACTCATTTACACATACAGATATATAATATATACATATTTTATTTCTTATGTTGTAATATTTTCTTAATATATATTTTGATAAAATGCAAACTCCTTAAGATCAGAGGCTGTTTAATTTTCATTCTTTGTATCCCCACGCATATAAAGAGGTACCTGACCCATAGTAGGCATTCTAAAAACTACTTGTTGATTATCTGGTGTCCTTAAATTCCAATTTATAAAACAATTTCCTATACATCAATCCCTAAAATACCTCCGGGGTTATTTTTTTGTTTAAGGAAAGAGGGATTCAATGACATCTTATTCCTACACATAGGTCCCATTATTTTTTGAACTATGTGCATGGTGTTTCAGCTAGTCTAACGAATAAGTACAGAGATATCAACTAATTTATCTAAAAGAAGATATTTAATAGAATATTAAATTGCTGAGTCATGGACCGACAACGTATGCTTTATTAAAATGATTACCTTAAAATAAAGTTTGGTATAGAGGAATTTAAATAAAATATTTAAATCTAATTTTAACAAAACCTTTTCCTTACTGGAATATATATCATTAAATACATACTTAGAGAATGCAGGGAACTTTTTTAAGGGATATTTCAGACTGTTTTTTTAACTGAATTAAATCTCCAACACAGTATTCATATAATACTAAAATATTTAAGTACTATTCATATCCATAATATGCAAAATAATAATAATAATAAAAACAGACTCAAAAATACATGGAAGAGGTAGGATATTTTCATTTATTTAGTTTAACTAAGTGGCTCTATCATCATGATGGGGATCTTTTTTCTATCCAAAGTCAATGAATCACAAAAAAATTAATTCAAGACATACACAATAAAAATAAATTTAACTTAATTTAATGAGATGTTCAGGTCATCATTTTTTTTTAACATAACAAAGCAATGTGGTATACTGAAACAGGACTCTGGACTAGGAATTATGAAAGACCTAAAGAATTATGTTACCATGGATAAGCCACTTCATCTTCAGCTTTCTCATCTGTAAAATGAGGATAATAATATCTATAACACCTACTTCACAAAGCTTTTGTGAGGCTCAAAAGACAATATACGCAAAAATATTTGGTAAAACTTTAAATGCTATATAAATAACAGCTGTTATAAAGAAGAGGAACTATGAAATTTAAGAAACACAACAAAAAATACTCAATTCTATATTACAGTCTACAGGGGAGACAAAAAGAGGGCAAGAAACAAGGAAAAAGAAGGGAAATCAACATTTGAATGACAATAACTAGTAATTCTCTTAATGCTACTATACAGTTAAAATACAACCACAGGGTTCCAAAATATGCTGTTCCATTTAGAATTATATGGCATTTACACATTCAGTTTGGAGGATATAAGAACTAGGAGGGGATAATATATCAGGTGCTCTTTGGGGTGACTGCTCCAGGAAACAGATTTCCCCAACTAGGCTGAATTGAGTACCAAAGGTTCCAAAAAGACACTACACTGACTTTACATTCAATAGAGGCAAATATACACACAGAGATAAAAGAGCAAAAAACAAGGGAAAGAAACTGAAAGATAATATGTTGAGGTGAGTGTGTAAACTAAATTGCTTTGGTCCAGATTTAGAGCTAGAAAGGACTTCAGAAATCATCTACTCCAACCCATTAATTTTTCAAATGAAAAAACTAAAGGGGTTTAAACCCTCTCAGAGGGTTTAAAGTCACTTGCCCAAGGTCATATGTATTAAGAGACAGACCCAGGATTTCAGCCCAGGACCTCTAAGTACAATTCAGGGGTCATTTCACTACCTCACCCTCTTAGGTGAATCTATGTCCCAAATTTTCTTGAACATTTCGGAATTTGGGAAAATAAATATGTAAAATAAAGTGTACTTTGTAATGAGGCTTTGCAAAAAGGAGATCTCTCTTTTTTTTTTCATTCACACCAAGTGACTAGATTTTAGGAAATATGGATACCCTAATTTAGGAGTATCACAGTCAATTATAATTTGCCCTTCGAACCTTGCTCCATTCACTGTCGTTTCCTCAAGTAGGAAAAAAGTGTTTCTAGTTTCGCTCTCAAATTTCACAAATGTTGCTTTGTTTTTTAAAATTAAAAGCTTCAGGATTCTGAAGATTTT